TGCCACATTATTAATGGTGACCATCCCCGTGAAGAATTAAGGAAACTGACACAGATCTAATCAGATTGTAGCTCATCTTTACTCTCCATGCAGAGCATGAGCAGATAAAGGTTTTCTGATGTGCAGCCAAGTCAACTTCCCTTATTTGGTCTGAAGGTTCACAGCTTGCTTCTACTGCACTGTTTGAAGGAAGAGAAAAGATTCAGAAGAAAATATATCCTGCTTGTACTTTTAGATCAAATTACTGTTGGATACAATCTGGAAAAATAAACACATTTTCTTCTGTGGACACAGTGTGCATGTTTTCCCATTTAATTTAAAACAGTGTGATATAATAAATAATTAATAACTGACACTAATAATTACCAAAACAACACGGCCCTGTAAACCCACAGGAGTAAAAGATGTTGGCAGAATTTAAATGAAAATGTTCAAGTCTTTAATTCGGCCTTCACATTTTATTGTTATTTTATGGATAGCGAATGGCCACATTGTAGCATGAAGGCAGAGTTATTACACATTTCCTTTGACTCGGGCAGACAGATGGAAACTATTGTGACATCATTTGTAAGTCTCAGCGTTATGACTATTTTTACTGACATCAGTCGCAGGCGAACAGATATTTTAGGAAATTCTTTGTAACACCCCACCCAGTTTTAAGCAATGACGTGAATTGTTATGTATATGAGATATACATTAGACAGTATTACTTTCAACCAAACAGGTAGTTACTGGATCTCAAAGACCAACTTTGTCTGCAGCTAAAGTATTAAAGCTTCCTTTTGCGTTAGTTTCATCCTTTACCTTTCGTTCCTGACCAGTTCCAAATACAGAACTTGTCAGACTTGGCCACTGACATAGTGAACATAAATTTAATGATGGCGGTCAAACTCAGATGTAACTATTTCAGTTTGGTCCTTAAGGTGGGAATAAGTCATTTGATCCATCTCCAAAATGAGTTTGGCACAGCATGGAAAACCAATGGATCACTGCAGCTAATTCTGTTATCAGGGAAGTTAAGACTCAGAGGTTGAATCTGAGAAACTGTGCTGCAAAATGGAATTTAAGGATATCGAGCAGATACAGGGATTAGCATGCAAATGACCCTCATAGATCATGTCTTTGAGCAAAGGCTAATGGCAGGTGAGTGATACTTATCAGGCTCCATAAGTGCTCCTTCCAATAAATACACACTAGGGGTCATTTGTATTGGGATTCAAGTGTTGATGGATATGGATTCCCACTTAACCTTGAGGTAATTCCAAGACACAGCTTATATCTTCTAATACATTATCTGTCCCATAACAGCTTGACCGGTCTTTAAGGACGTCACTTGTTAATGCAAAATATGTTTTATGTCATCGATAAAACTGGCAGTTTTAAAGACCTATCAATAACGGCGTGTGTGCAGGACTGGACACGACTGTCCTTTTGTTCTTATAAAACGCTTGTTCCACAGCAGTGTGTATCTTTACAGCAGAGCCGGTCTTTTTTTGACACTCACCCTGATGTGTCACAGCTATCTCTGTAAAAACACATCAGGTCACATGTTCAGCCAGTGCGGTGAAATTGACAATAAATGACATACACCTCTTTAACGTATTCTCTCCTCTAATGCAGGTTTGAATCTGCCAGCTAACAAAGCAGGCCAGTGATTTATGAAAGTTGATTAAGATCATGTGCTTCTAGTTGCACACTGGCTTTCATTTCCCAGCCGACACTTGACCTTGACCCCTGCCTGCCACAGTTATATATGAAGGGTTTTGTTCCAAAACACTGTAAAATCAAAGAGGATGTTGGGTCTGGTACACGGTTTCCTTAGAAACAGGACCTTTTTTTTAGTAGGTATTGAGAAATGAGGTATGTGTTTAGTGTATGTATCATGTTTCTAATAAAACTACTTAGCATGGTCACATGCTAGTGGAGAGTCGCTGGTCCTTTGATACCGACCGTGGGGACGTCCATTTCTCTGGTGGATCTAAAAATATAAAAAGAGTAAAATATAAAGTTTCACGGTGGATTAAAGCCCTCTTAGAGATGAATAGGCAACAACAAGATCATTTTCAACAGGTTCATTGGAAATGAACACAGATGCAGTTCTCACTCTCAGTGATATCTCTCATGCATTCATGGATAATGGATTTGTTCATTTCTGGTTATTAAGGCCATTTGATTGAAGCCGTAGACCATATGTAAAGCCCGGATGTAGGATTAAGTTGCTAAAGTGAAGGCTGACAGGAAGTGCTCCCCGCTTTTTTAATTAAGTCCATATGAATAGAAGGCTATAGAAAAATTCGATTTTAAACGGATTTATAAAGTGAATAAATGCATTTATAAATAGTTTATGGTCTCAACACTGCTTTCAGATGTTAAAAACTATGATCTGATCTGCTGTTTAGAAAGAGGGAATTGATACAGACATAAATAACTGACGGAGAAGTATAAGCTGCTATCCATACGCCGCTATCAATTCAGTAATTTAGTTCATTTTTGTCGTACTGAGTTGTAACTAATGTCAGATTGATGGCGGCCATGTGGCACTGCTGATGACAGTCTTTGATTAGACTCCAGTGTTTACTGTTGCCAGGCTCGTTTGCTGTCTAGAAGAACTGGAGTCATGTTTTTACTTTTTCCATCTTCTTTTTTCTCTATCTCTCAGCGAAAAGGCCACAAATGCAATAACACATCACAGTATGACTGTTGAATTCTATAGAAGTCCTCTTGTGACAATGACTCCCTCAGGTTATAAATAGCAGCACGTTTTCTAAAGAGCACATGTCAGCACATGTTTTTCTAAGTTTCTGCCTTAAAATAGAATACTCTCCATATGCCATCTTCACTTTATCCAGACATGACCTGGAGACGGCATCAGTGTCTGTGTTCTGCAGATCTGTTCACTCACTAAGTCTTAAGTCATGCTATACAAGAATGAAAAGCATGTAGAGAGAGAGACATTTGCACAACATCTAGTGAGAAGAATCAGACCTCTCCTGCAAGCACACACACACACACACACACACACACAGAGAAAAAGAGAGAGAGAGTGAGAGAGAGAGGCAAATAAGACAAACAGGGAAACGACGAGCTGATACATAACACATGCTCAACCAGACACAAAGCAGCGTGTCTGTTTTGTTTGTTAACTTATGTGGGAAAATATCTTGAAAGTACTGATAACAGGAAAACCCCTGTGCTATCTTGCAGGAATATTAACCAAAGCTATAAACATAGCTTGAGAAACACATGGTTCTCCCTGGACAAAGGGTGAATGTCCTTGTCAGTGTGTGGTCTTTTTCCAAGTGGGGGTCATGCTTGGACACACCAAAAAATGAATTCAGCGTTCTCACAAATTAAAAGTAGATGTAAAACTACCAGTTTGTACTTCACTATCGTTTGCCTTCCTCCTGCAGACTGCGTTCGTACTAACAGTGGAGTTTAAAGGTCTGATATGTTGAAATGACTCTATAATAAACCATAGAATTGTATAAAATTAATTCCCTCAACGACTTTTGAAGGGCTACAGGAACTACAGTGTATACTGCTGTGTTCACTAGCTGTGATGCTAACCTCTGTGTGTGTGTTCTTGGTTTTGTCTTCTTTTGCAAGTAATCAGGAGTTTTCTTACGTGGAAATGTGGACCTGTGAAAAACAGATCCAACAGATGGCAGTAAATCACTAACAGGCTACTGTTAAAATGTTCAAAATTTAGAGAAAAAGAAGGAAAGACGTGAATTTGGTAAATAATGACTCCATTCCAGTTAGGGGTGTGAATATTTCGTCTGCTGACACTAGTTGTACAGGCATTTTATGGAACGCTTAAAGGTTTGTGGGAAAAATGTACCACAATCTTTTAAAAGCTGTTTTTAAAGCAAGACCCCGGTGCATTGTCTTTATATGAGTTCATCACCAACACAAACAGTAAACAAGAACTCCAGACTCTATTTCTGCAGCGTTGGTTCTTCTCCATGAACACGTGTCTTCACCTCTCTCTGTCAGACGAGGCTGGAATAATATAACTTGATGTTTGAAAACAAATGCAACAGAGGCAACATTCATCACTGACACATGGGCACACTTCAAACATTACCTCTCTGTTTTTTCTTCTTCTGTTGCAACTGAATCATCCTCTCTGATTATTGTGTTCATATCCAACAATTCGTGTTTTCCTACATTTTTAATTCATCTAACAGGTGGCACTTTGACCTGTGTCCCACATGTTGTCTAATGTTATGCTTGAGCAAATGTAGCAAATGTAGCAATGCGATGTTAGTATCTCTAAGATTCTTAACTCCCAGATGCCACAAATAGAGATCATATGTTCTGTATTTTTAAAAGATTCTTTCTAAAGAGAGTCACTAAGTCTAAATATTAAGAAATACAAATAATACTATAATAATATAATGTAAAATCTCAGGTTAGAATTACCAAAGGCTCTAAACTAATGTTGCAAAAGTGTGACATTGAATACCCTTATTTTTCTACTCACAAAATGGCCGTCCCTTGCGTTGGCCATTATGAATGACCTTTTCTCTCTTGGCTGAATGTTCAAAAAGAGTTCAGCAGTGAAACTATTGAGAAATACTGTGTGATACTGACGAAGTAAGAGAATGGAAAGAAAAGCATGTGATGCTGGTGCAGAGCATGTTAGGACAGCCAGATAGGGGTGCAGTCGGAGTGACAGATGGGTTCTACGTCATTAAAGGCTTTTTTAATTCTTTCTTACTCTTCTGGTTTTTTTTTATCTTTATGTTTTTTTAATCTTTGCTCTTTGTGTGTTTTCTGCTGCTCTCTGCACAATACTTGGTGATATGCCCTCTTTGTATAATAAATAGGATTTAAATGTAGTGTAGCAGGAGTTGAGCAATATTAAAATATATTGTTGTCCCTCTGTCGTTTTGTGAAATAAAATATAATATAAAATGTGTTTTGTGACATAGAAAAGCAGAACAATGTCAGATGCTAACTTTAACTGAAGACAACAATAACTCCACTCCAAAAAATAGTTTCCAGGACAACGTTTTACTGGAAAAACTAAGGTCATTTTTTTCTAATAATTTTATAGAATACGATTGTATAAACATAAACATCAAGATAAACATCAATAAAAATCAGTTACATACTGGTAAAATACATCTACTCCTCTTTTAGCAGGTGAGTAAAATGCTTTTAAGAGGTTAAAATCTTTCATGTTGACATCGGTCAAACAGTTGACATACAGTGTTAAGTCATATGAGTTAAAGTATAAACAAAGGCAATTAGAAATCAAATTTAAATCAGAATTAACATTTCATCCACTCCTTTCTGAGTCTGACAACATCAGTGGTTTTGAAAATGCTGAAATGTTTTGCATAACTTCTACTGAGACAATGACACATGAGGTTTCTGAAAATCATTACCGCACAGTAAAAACACAACTGGCTCTCAACACACAAATTGCTAGCAAAGGGCTGATCGCAAGTGCGGTGACTGAGTCTCTGAGGATCCAGCATATGAGGGAGTGAGGATGAGGGTGTAGCATGACGAAGACAGCCTCCTCCCCATTGTCTCTGAGAGTGCTTTAGTGTAGTTAGTGGAGGAGGTATACAGTAAGGGGTAGTTCAGTGGTTGTCTGTTACACAAGGTGGGTGGGGACAGTTGAGCAGGGACTGGATTATCAGCTGTCCATGTTGTAGCTGATGAGGAGACACAGAGGGCAGCAAGTAGTCTCAGCCTGTAGTTACCACACAGGTAACTGGTTACCGTGGTTGATGGAGGCAGGTCAGTGAAGAGGAAGGTGCTACGTCCTCCTTAAAAAAGAATGTCTTTCTTAAGAGTTCTTAGCCACCATTTTAATTGTGATGGTCTTTACTTCTGAGTACTCCATTAAACCATTTTCTCCCCTGAAAACACACAAAAGGACATGATGAAGAAACACATTCATTCATACATAAACCCATATCATAACAGGGACATCTGGACAAGACAAAACCTTAAAATGAATACAGTTAGGGGCCCCGCAATCTTCAAGTGACCCAAAAGATATTTACAAATGTAATAAGATTGCCATGGACATTTTCCAAACTGCTCCTGAAACACATTTTTACAAGGAGTGAAATAATTCCCGCCCTGGTGTAGATGCTGCTGGAAATATTGCAATATCCTCTTCTAAAGATTAATGTGCTCTTAAGCAATTTCAGAGAAGGGGGTTTTCAAAACACAAAGTCGGTTTTAGCGAGAGATAGAGATGTTTAATCTTTGTAAATTTTCAGCTGGCACAAAACCAAGTCATACTCACAATTCACGTCCGTTGCCAGACATTTTATATCCTCCAAATGGACACTGTGTGCTCAGAGCGTTGAAGCAGTTTATCCTGGGAAATACACAAAACATTGATCACTCTTGTGCCGCTGACTGAGTTTGGCTGGTGTTGGAAAATAGGCAAAAACATTTAAAGAACTTTTATGTTAACTCTATTTTATATCCGTTCACATCTGGTCTTGGTGTCAGATGGTCGGTCAAACAGAGCAAAATCCTCTCCTGAATATTAAAACGATTTTCAGTGTATAAATGAAAAGAAAAGATATTTGGGAAGAAGAAGAATAGTTGTAAAAACGCACAGAGGAACCGTGTGGCTGAATGGTTGGAAATGGGTGACCTTCGGTGACCTTTGTAAGGTTTGAGGTTACAACAAGGATGAAACATTACACAACGTGTTAAACGTTCTGAAGAGGTATGTGTGCCGTGTGTTTAACTTGTGCTACAGAGGTGATGAGTGTCAGGAGAAAGCCAGGAAGAAGACATCTTTAGATAAGTACAAAGAAAACCAACGGAAACTCTGAGTTAAATTCTGTCAGTCATCACCAAAACCAACGGATGAGGAAAAGGCACATGGATGAGATCAGGCAACAAGTGATACCCAGCTGGTTTTCTGTCAGCCCCAAATGTTTTCAACGTGATGGTTAAATGTCTTCTGGAATTGGTTGGGTTTATCAAGAAGACAAAAGAGACAGGTCTCTCTCTCTCTCTGTGTGTTTCTCTGAAAAGTTTCACACACACTTCTCTCCACTTGTGGAGCGGTGATTGTGACAGCGTCAAGCTTGAAGAACAAGAAGTTTCTTTAGCGAGCAGTGATGTGCGGTCAAGTATGACAGGTTGTAAAGATTTTCTTGGCAGTTTCTGGATGTTAACTGTACTTTCAGCCCTGCTCATGACCATCTGCAATTAATTACCAAAGATACAAAACAGTTTTAGGTGAAATCAGATAGTAACATTTAATGGGCATTTCATCCCTACAAATCACAAGATTCTGGGATCAATTTACATTATTCTTTTGATAGTTGTTACGTCCTTGCTGTCTGAGAACAGTCAAAAAAGGAAGGAAAACCTTTTTTTCAGGCCTATGTAATTATAGTTCCGTGGCCCAGTGCCAGCCTATGGTTCGTGGATCCCTGGAACTTCCATGTTCTTTCCACTTGAAAATGTTCCTGATTGCATTTTAAAGCTAGAACTTACCAGACAGTGCCGGCCTGCATGGTGGTTGATATGGTCATGGCTTTGTTGATGTCGTTGGTAAATACTGCTGCCACCAAACCATAGTCCGTGTTGTTGGCTCTTTCTATCACTTCCTCGATAGATCTGAACTTCATGATTTGCTGGACTGGTCCAAAAATCTGAGGAGAGAGGAATAATAATAAACAGCAGAGTTTATATCTGGAAAAGTTTAGTAGCGAGGATCTGTGTGAATTTTATCATGCTCGTTTTTGTTCCCACTGGTTCAAAGTTTGTGATGAACGTTTAAGTTCAGAAAATTGACAGCTTTTTCGCACATCAATTATTACTTATTACTTTATTAGTTTGTTGCTTTGAATCAAAAGTTGACGGACCACAACAGTATTTTATTTCACCATAAAAAAGGACATTGATCTGTATTTAAATCAAATGCATTTTTATTCATTTTTGATGAACTTGTATTTTTGAAGTCTTTTACAGTAACTTATTTTTTATTATAGTGTGTTGCTTTTAATCAATGGTTGAAGTAAATTTTTTCTTTGGGTCGTAAATAATTGAAATGGTAGGAAGTGTTAACATGTGTTTCAAGACAAAATTGTGTTGGTAAAATAGTAAAAAAAAATTCTATTGTAACTAGACTTTATGGAAGAGACTTCTTATTGTCTTGCTAGAGATGTTGTAATATTGTAATATTAGAAAATGGCTGTGTTTACGTAAACAATAAGATTTAATAAAAAATACCAACAACCCTCCAGTGGAAATACTGCATCATCAGTTATAGTTTCTAATAATTATTTTTGACACTTTTTTTTACCTCCTCTCTGGAGATGCGCATGTCATCCCTCACATTAGAGAAAACAGTGGGCTCAATGAAGAAGCCTTTCACGCCTAAGGCTTTCCCACCACACTCCAGCTTGGCTCCTTCACTGATGCCGCTCTGAATGAACTCCAACACTCGATTCTGCTGCTCACGACTGATCTGTTGTGGTGGAAGGAAGATTGAATTGGAGACGTGATTAAATCCAAATAGTATTTTTAATATAAAATATTAAATATAATCCTCCGCTCTCATTTCTACCTGTGGACCCTGTTCAGTAGTGGGATCAAAGGGGCTGCCCACCGTCCTCCTCTTTGCCCTCTCCACACTTCTGCGGACAAACTCCTCATATATGGGCTCCTCCACAAAGATTCGAGAGCCTGCTGTGCAACACTGGCCTGCATTGAAAAACACGCCCTGATGGGCCTGCTCTACAGCCAGATCCACTGGGAAAAGACACATTTAATGAATTCATTAATAATAAGATTAAACCACATACCCACAAAAGCAAGATTTATAAAATCATAGATTAAAAAAACAACATCTGGTAAGAAAACCTCCTCGCCTGGCATATTGTTGAAAAAAAAACTGATGCCTGATAATATATTTTAAGGCCATCCTTCACAGAACCGATACCTGACACCTAAGAGACAGGACCCTGCTGTTGCCCACGAAGGGTTAATGCACCCCTGTGATTTATGGGTCTCGGCTGAAGCACCCGACTGAGTCAGGGTCCATTCTCATGATTTACAGGCTTTGGGGAGCCCCTCTTACTGCTGCGGAAGGCATTTGAAAGCCTCAGCACCCCTAGTTTGGTGAGTTTATATGAAACCCATCCATCCACAGTTTTTCGTAGCAGCAGAAAACCTTTCAGCTTTCTAAGATTCTCACTGCATGTGTACGTATGTTAGGGCTCTGAGGCTCGAGCAGAGGGACAAACTCGATGAGGACGTCAGCCACGGGCCACTTGATGGTTCACACAGATGACACTCTTCTCTTTCTCACACAACTTAGAAAGTTTCATAAAAACTGTCCTTCATTCAAAAGGATTTTTTGCTCATAAATCAACTAATATGGCAACATAACCTGCTTAACAGGACGAGGGGAATGAAGGCAATAAAATAAAAACCACATGAAGAGAACGAGTAATCAGAGCAATTCACACAACATTACTAAAAAAAACTTACAATCAGCATCTGCAAATATAATGTTGGGGTTTTTTCCTCCCAGCTCTAGCGTAACTCTCTTCAGGTTACTCTTCCCAGCTGCTTCTTGGATCAGTTTGCCGACCTAGAAAAAGGAAACAGATCTGAGGTTTACACACAGTGATGCAGGCCTGCGGCCAAATCTGTAAGTCAGCTGGAACCATTAAACAGCCTAAAGAGGTTGGTTTTAGCTCCAAAAAGGGATTCCACCTGATGAGCAGCTAAAACATTGACCTCTGCAAATATACAGAATGAATATCCATTACAGTTTCTTTGCAAACAGCAGCAGGGATAATAAAGTTCTGTTTGAACCCTGAACAGCTGATGTGTAATGAAGGGCAGGAAAAGGAAACACAAGGTGTGTGGTGTGTTGTCCCCTGACCTGAACAACAGACGGGGAGGAAGAGCAGCCGCCTGCTATCAAATGGCTCATTTGTGACAGAACACAGAACTGGTTTGCTGCGTTTTTCACAATCGTTTTATAGTGTATGATGTTTGAACTATATAAATAAGTCACAAGGAATAAGCTAAAATGTAAAAAAAAAAAAATTCACATACATGTCATATTAGGGATAAAAATATAGAAAAGTCAAATTACAGTAAGTCAGATTATAGCAGAACATTGCTAACAAAATCAGATTCACCAAGAATTAAAGGTCCATCATTTACAGAACTCATAATGTGTCAAACTCAGCCTTTGTTTCAGCCACCAATGTTTTACCAAACTCAAAACTGGGCTGACGATGGACAGTAGAGTCAGTTTCTCAAACTGATGTTTACACAGAAGTATGATATATTAGCTTTGCAGATAACAAGCCTGAGAGCTCCCTTACCCCCCCCACACACACACACATACCTTCCTCCCAACTCTACACTCTAAACATCATTCTTCCTCTTGTTACTCATACACTCCATTTTATTTTCCAGAGCAAAATGACAAGAAAAGGTTCTTACAGACAGTGATTCCCAAACCCTGTGCTGTGGGACCATAGTGTGCCATGAGAGATCATCAGGTGGACCCTGGAAATGATCCCATTTCACTCATCTATAGTGGGTTTTTCACACAGCAGAGGCGTCTGTCTACTCATCACAGAGTCAACATGTGCATGTGTGAGGAAAAACACAGCCCCGTGGTCTACACTCATAATCACAGCACACCAGCCTATGTAACCCTGCATTTGTATGTCATTTCAACTTCTCTGCACCCCCCCCCACCCCCAACCCCTCCACACACACACACACACACACCCAACATCATGACTCAGCTTCTGTGTCACTTGGGATTTGCTGTCAAAAGCGAGCAGTGTGTGGCAGGTGCTGATCACATCCACATCACGTGAGTGAAAAGTACCTCGGTTGATCCAGTGAAGGCCACTTTGTCTATGCCCATGTGCGAAGCAATCGCTGCTCCCGCCGTTGGCCCGAATCCTGGCAAAATATTGACGACTCCCGGTGGAAACCCGGCCTGTCAAAACAGTAAGAGAGGAAACAAGCTTTAAAGGAGATGACCGCAGAGCCAAGCAAAACCACAGGCAGTGTGGGGGGATCCAGACCCAACCCAACCTCCCTACCAGCAGAGAATGGAGAGAAGATCAAAAAAGAAGAAGCTAACAGACAGTCTCCAAAAAATGGGATAGAACAGAAAGGGCAGAGGGAGAAACAGGGAGGAAGTGAACTGAAAGATTGTTTACAGTAGTTCAGTCAGTGCCATTTCCTCTCCTGCACTCAACTGTTGTAGACTGTTACGGCTTTATGTGTACATCAGCTTTTAAAATGAAATCTGACATTTTCGTATCATCACGACATTGACATGACATGACATCATCCTCCATGTGGCCATTTCATACTTGGCAGTGCAGTACCTTACCCTGCCACATGAGGGCAATTTCCTTGCTAATGGCAATTTCTGTTTTATTATAGTCTCTGATTAATAATTAATTAATCATTGTTTTAACATAACAAATGTAAATACAAATACAACTCCTCACTTTAACTGCCGGTCAGCATGTTTATGTGGGCCTGAGACCATTTTAAATGGGCTACACGTATCCCATGAAGGTATTACTTTGTAGTACTTTTGTACACTGAACTATCCAAACTATGTCCCAAGCTGTGGCCAAATTCTTGCTGAACTCTATGTGCTTGACCAGCTGCCACTTCTTAAGTGAAACTAATTCAGTTACTGGACTAATAACATTGGTATTTTTCACAATATTTTTTGCCTTTTAGAAGCTGTTGTATCTGGCAGACATCTTGATTGCAGCTAGCTGTGAGCTAAGTTAGCTGTGAGCTAAGTTAGCTACAGATGGTGGGAATTTATTTATCTAACTAAGTTTGCTTAGCATGTTGAATACATGTTATCCTTTGTGCTTTTAGTTAACACTTGGGACCTCTGACGTGGAGATTGCTTTTCAAGATTATGTTTTTGCTACTACTGTGTGAGAGCACGTTAGTATTTGCATTATCCTGGGTCATTTGATGGTCCAGTGTCCAATTTGTCTTGTTGTGGAATATTGAATTGAATACACTACTACCATTGCCACTACAACTACTACTAGTGTAGTAGTGTAGTTCAGCCCAGCAAGTTGATGGTTTTCATAAAGGCTTGTTTTCGCCCTTCACCATGGTTTGATGTTCTGGTTTGATTCTGCAGTTTACCTCCTTGACTAGAGCAGCCATGTAGAGGCAGGTGAGGGGCGTCTGCTCAGCAGGTTTAAGGACAACAGTGTTTCCACAAGCGAGAGCTGGTCCCAACTTCCATGCTGTCATCATCAAAGGGAAGTTCCACTGTGTGACACACGCACAGAGAAACACACACACATACCGGAATACGACATTATACATCTGACTGACACACTGGGTGGTCACAAATAAAGGCCAATAACTGAAAGGTCTTGAGTCACTTAGGTTCATTTTCACTCAGTGTAAATATAGTGGCGTAAGTCGATGTTCTCAGCATTTATACCGTATTCTCTCTTCCCACAGTATTCTGAGAAAACCAGGAAATTACAACACATGTGCAAAAGACCCATATCACTGTACAACACACAGGCCAGTGTGATTTCTGCTTTATACAGGAGCCCATGGGGCTCAACACAAAACCACACACTTTCTGCTCTCTTGCACAATCAACAGTGTCTCTTTCTCCTTGATGTTTTCCTGCTCTCTCACCATTCTCCTTTCATCAAACCACTTCGTCAAAGCCCTCTGCTCAGCTCTTTCTGCCTCTCACTTCTCATTCCCTATTACTAAACTCACTGGCACTGTCATTGTGGGGGTTTACCCGAATAAACAATGACTGTCAGGGAATTACTGGAAAACCAGAGTGTAATGACAGCAAACGATGAGGCTAACTGCCAAAAATGTTCATTTTAACGCCAGCCAATTCACTGTTATCTGTTTTGTGGCAATATTACATGTTCATTTGTATACTTCAGACTTGTCCAGTGTAGGAAGGGGAATACTCACTGGGATAATTTGTCCACAGACTCCAATGGGCTCATATCTGGTAAATGTCAGATACTCTCCGTCTGTGGAGCGAAAACACACACACAAACACAGAGCACAGAGTTTGAAACTTGAAAATGCCCCAAATAAAAGACATCACCACCTGATACCCCTGGTGTTGTTGACTCAACATGTTAATCCACACACAACATTCCTGGTTACTTTACCCTGATGAGAGATTATATTTCATCCAGCAGCACTGTGTGTGTGTGTGTGTGTGCGCTTTAGGTCATAGAGATGGGTGTTATACTGGAAAGGTTCTTTCATTCCTCTTGCATTACTTGCATAGAAGGAGGTATGTTTGTCCATAACCAAGAAAACTAGTGAGATTGTTGAGAAATGTGTGAATAGATGTGTTACATCATTTATCAGCTGTTGAAACATTGCTTAATGTTGAACTTGGACTCGTGAATTATCCATGTAAAAGATGAGCCAGATAAGAGACAACCGCAGCTTTTTTTCATCAACTTCAGAGTGAAGGCTTATTCTGTCTCACTTGTTATTTAGAGAATGAGACTGTCATCCTGTAAGGCATAAGCTTTTTCAAGACGAACCAAAGTGTCTGCGAGGTTTGTTTGAAAGCATGACGTCTGCGAATGAGTTATATTTCAATTTGGAAGCAGCAATGTAAACTAAACCACAGTGCGTAGCCAAAGGTGCTTTCATGACGACACTCCCATTCATTACACACAGTGGACGATACAAATTTAACACCATTATCATGGTGCATATCAGGTGAAAGATGATTAGATGCCAAGTGGTTTTTCGAGCCCTGCAGCTTTTTTACAGGTGAATAAATATGGTAACTGACTGCCTTACATCACACAGGCAGTGGGAATGTCTGTCTATTCTCTGTAGACCTGAAGAGGAAAAACACTCAAAGAAAAGAAACTTGAAAACATGAATGTGGAGTAGCCATGACAGTGGTGGTGAAAGAAATAGAATAAAATACAGTTGTATTGAAAGATTTCCCATGTCTTCACATTTTGTATGTCGAATATCTACCTTGACAAAGTCACACAAGAAGAATTATTCAATCACAACAGACAGATAACCTGTTAAGACGTACCTCTGTGAAAAGGTAATAATTTGACTTGAATAATGGCTTGATTTGACCCAAGAATCAAACAGTCCTTAAGCTGCTTTCTGAAACTTTGTTTAGAGATTTCAGAAAAATACCAATTAGTTGTCAAAGAGAGAAAAGAGCCTCTCTGCACTGATAAGTCTATGGCTGGATATGCTAATTACTCATACCTTGTTTTAACCTGCTCCTAGTTACACAGCCATTATGACTGTGGTCCGTGACACCCACGTTATGATTGTTTTCCCTGCGTTCAACCCTGCTCTTCCTGCTTCTTACCCATTGGAATGGTGGAGCCATGGATCTTGTCGGCATATCCAGCAAAGTATCTCAGTGTTTTTATTGTTCCTTGGAGGTCCACAAACAGGGTGGGCAGGAAAGGTTTCCCACTGTTCAGTGACTCAACAGTCTGCAAAAAGACAGGGGAGACGTTTGAGGAAATATGTGATATAACCCTGTGATCCTCACATACTCGCATGCCATTCCAGCTTTTACACCATCCCGTGGGTTGAATGAGACACTAAGAAAACATGAAACCACAAATGAAGCCTCTAAGTTACATTTATATGTCAGGGATAGAATAAAGCAAGGTTTATATGTAGTTTTAAAAAACAGAGGTAAATCAAAGAGATCTGTGGAAGACATTTTGAAATGTTATTGCTCGAAAAAAAGGGCAACGTGTGACAGGGCTGTTACAGAATAAAATGTAGAAAGAAAAACATGTAGAATGTAACTTGGAAAATATAGAAGACATATTATAACATTTACAGGAAAATGAACAATAAATGGAATGGGGACAGTTCCCTTAACCTACTGCTAGATAGATGCTGTCTCTCTCCACCAAGTCTGCGAGTTTGGACAGCAGACGTCCTCTCTCAGACGCATCCATCCTCCTCCATACAGAGCCTAAAGAGAAGGCCAGACGAGCTGCCTGAACAGCTTTATCCACATCAGCCTGTGAGATGAGAGCGAATCACATGAAACAAAATGAATTTGTTCTAATCTCAGTTCACACGTGAACAGGAGAAAACAACAGGAGCACTGAGCTACAGTGAGGCTAAACTCTACTGTTATAATGTTGGGTATTATTACACTAATCAAACATTATTCAGCATTGCACTTTTTTAGTAAGCTTCCACTGTGTTTTTATGTATATAGAAAAAAATATATTTATCTTATTTTACTTTATTTGCCTTACACTGTTTGCACCTGTCCAGACAGGAAACGGGTAATTACCTTTTCTGCTTCCTGAACCTCACATATCTGCTCTCCAGAGGCTGGGTTGTACACAGGGAAGACCTTTCCACTGACCGAGTCCTGCCACTCATTGTTGATGAAGATCTGTCCCACAAGAAAACAAAACATTTTTAGTGTTTTCTAATGCAGATAGTGTGTTTTTAAGAGTTAAAAAACCCCAACACAATTGATACAATTAGAATACCTTATTACATTTTAGAAAGTTGTATTTTTGTATGTAATGATGTTAAAGGTGGATATTAATTTTGAATTGTAACCTGTTTGATTTAGAAACATAGTTGAGGCGAAGAGTGTGAAACAACAAGCACCTTTTTGTGTAAGGGATACAGGAGAGACTTTAAAAATCTGGACAAAGATTCCTGCCTGTCCAGCATTGCTCTCTGGGGAGTGCTGCACCACCCAGACAAAGGGGTGGGTGAATGTGGGAACAGATAAATCCCTATCAGACACCAGACCCCCACCCCCAGCATACAGACGCACGTTCCACAACATCACTGTGCGTTTACGAGATCATAAAACACGTGCCGCACTTGGTTTCTGTGATGCGTTAAAGCAAGTCTTCCGTTAAACAACCGACTGGGATTCCAAACAAGACATATATAACATCTATTGAGACCAAAGTCAAAATAAATGTTTGCACAATCGCAAACTGAGAATTATGTCACTGAAACACAAACCATCCCTTCGTAGACTTTGGCAACCTCGAAGAAAACGCTTTGAGTGATTTGGACGGCAACCTCAGCTTACGCAACATTAGTCACTAAGAAAAAGCTCCTTTATTGCTGAGATGTTTAGATCCATTAGTTCGGAATACTCTCGCTGTTTTTAATGGCTGTAACTGTGTCTGATAAATAGAGTGCAAAAAGAACATCTGTTAGCACAGAGCTCTCTGTGTGTGTACCTATGTTTTTACTGTACTTTGAAAAGACTTCAGTCACAATGAGAGCAAAAACCCTGAGATCAAGGTTCAAGTGTCCCACTGACTTCAGCCTCCCTTAACTCTCCAACATGTTTATCTTATTAAACGCGAGGCTGTAAGTACAATTTAATTGGCTGTAAACTCTTAGCTGTGTTTACTTTTGGGCTGGTATAAAATGCCAGGGAGTCACGGTAAACCGATCGGTTTGCTCCTCTCCTCCCCGCGGCTGTGTAGCACTTATTACGGGTTTGACCACAGTGTGAGGCACAGGCAGGCTTCGAGGCATCCACAGTCTGTCTTTATCTTTCTCCTTTATCAAACCTTATACCATAGAATGGGGGTTTAGCCAAGTGGATGTGGTCCAACCGTTCTGAAAATGCTGTCATTTTTATCCATAGTTTAGACATAAACTAGAAATGTTTATGTCCATGTAAAATAATGTTACCACAAGTTGTTATCCGGTTATCATCCTCTCTTTATGTGTAATTACTATGTCTTTTTATCTTAGTTTTTTTTTTATTAAGATGTATAACATATTTGTGCAGAGCATAAACAAACATTTCATGGTCTGACTTCTGGTCCGATGTCTGAAGGGAATGAAAGTTTTTGGACTGACATTATACAGTTTAATTTTGAATGGACTTTAAATGACAATTATTTGTGTTCATTTATATATTTTTGTTGAAACTCATTAAACAACACTACGTTAATGTGTTTATTAATATAGCCCTCTGTTGATCAGAGGGAAGTAAAACTGACTGTTAGCATCTTCCTGCTCGGTGTCCTCACTGTGGTTGGGGTTCAGCTCAGACACACACTGACCGGTGTAGTACTCGGTATCAGTGTGTACACAAAGAACACGGCTTTTCTCATATTAAATTGGAAAACATGTTATCAATAACCATATGTTGATTATAGCATTTCAATACAAGCCAGCGCAAAATTGAACCAACGTAGGGTACATATGGACTAGGCTGACTGAGAAACACACACACACAGAGAGAGAGAGAGAGAGAGAGAGAGGATTCTCTCCACAGCGCCATCCTCTCAGACGTTTTCCATCAGAAGCCACCTTTAATCTGCTGCTCATTAACAGCACTTCATAAAATTGTCAGCAACGATAAGGAGCAGAGGCCTAGTTTAGAAAAAAAACATAGAAAGTCCTGTAGAGCACTGAATTAGCTTTTAAATTTATGGGGGCCACAGAAGTGAGGCATCCTAAATCAGAGGAGCCCCCTGACAGCCTCAACAGTCCCAGCAAGAATGCAGACCATGGGTAGCTTTATGCATGGCGTAACCCCTCTCAGAAGACGCTGCTAAAAGAGAACGGATGAAGCACGAGAAGAGTGGAGCAGGCTGCCACCTAAATCACAGGCAGAAAAGGACAACTGTCAGCCGCCGCTTGGCTCAGCCCTCTCTCTGGGCTTTGACTGGTGTTAGACTTTTGTCTGTTTCCATTGAGAGACTTGATTAAGATGACAGGCCGGAGCTGTAAATCAAGCCTCAAGGTTTCTTAAAATTGCTTTTTGGATCATTTGTATGAGGGGGCAAAGAATACAAGAATGAAAAACAAGTGCGAAGGTGCACATTTTCCAATGACAAATAGTGTTTTCTTTCCCATTCCCTGTGGGGTTGTTACTATCACTTCACAGGATGGTTTCGTGTTTATAAAAATCTGCGCTGCCAGAGAGTTTAGCCTGTTGTCAAGAGGCTACGAAGACATCGGTAAAGTTTACATGTAACCGTTTTTTCCCCAAACAGTGATAACACCGATCTTAGGACATTGGAAGAAAAGTAAACATATATTTCCTAAATATGACCAGGTGTCCTGATGTGACCAGTTGGTTATTGAGCAGTGAGACGATGTGTAAAAAATAGGCTTTGTTTGATCAAAAACGTATGATTTATGCTTATACTGTATTATTTTTGTAGGCTTTTTGTATCAGGGTGTTAAAATTGAAATGACCATTCATCATTTGAATCTTTGAAAACTATTTTTGAATATTTTTTGTAATTATTGTTCAAGGCTTGATTAAATAATATTCAGATTACAAAGACAAATAAACGTCAAAGAAACAAAGATACTAAACCATATTCTCAGTAAGATGTGCTAAAATGTACAGTTTGGTTTTGCAAATAGTTGTTAACCAATTTCAAGACATAACATTTCTGTTTAAAAAAATAATAGGACAATAAAATAGCCCAGCTTGTTTCTGTCAATTGTATTTAGAACTAATTTAACAGTAATGTTATTATCAGTTTGTTAAGTGAATTCTTATTTAAAATCAAATGTTTAATACAAATAGCTTTACTGTGGAGTTGGAAAGAAAAAGAAAAACTTTTTTGTAGGTTTATATTGTTTCCTAAGTCCTAATCCGTACGTTGTAGTTTTATAGTTATGGAGTATTGGGCAGTTCTGGCCTTCAGGCCTTATGTTGCCCATGTGTGTTCTAAAAGGACAATTTCAGATATTTTCAGGGTGAGCCTGTGAATATTAATCTTGGTATGCACTGAATAAAACAAATTCTCATATTTACCTCACCAACAGAGAATTTTCAGGAGTTTCCAATGGTTTAGGAATGAACTGTATTTGGAAATAATAAATGCCAAAATAGTTTCTGCAGCCAACAAAACATCTGTTTGGCTCTTTGCTTCTTCTCACAGCTAAGTTGCTAACGGTTGACTGAATATGTAATGCTGCTCTGTCCCTGTTTTTTCTTCTTTTTTTTAGCCTTTGTTTTTTTAAAGGCAGGAAAAAAAGGAGCAGGAAGAGGAGGACAGGACAAGATGTGGAGAGGTGTCGTTTATTAAGGGTTGGATTTGGATCTGTGTATGGATGTGTGTGTGTTTTTGTGTTTATACACAGTTCGCCAAGATTCCACAGCCACACAAACTCTACCCAGGCACCTGTGACACTGGCCTGAGCAGGAAGTTTCATATCCTCCTCTATCACAGGACCTCTGTATCCGTTCTTTTTCTGGATGAGTTTCAAAAGTCTGATAATTACTACTGTTACAAGAGAGCGGGGAGCATGTGAAAGTGGTGACCAGCTGGTGTTTTTTTCCTCCTACTCCTCTCCACATGTCCGAAACTGTGGAGCCTTCGTGTTTTTTTCATACGCAGACAATGACGCCCTGCGCTCTTGGATTTGGAGAGGGTGACCTTGCTGTCACTGACTGGAAAACGTCTTTATTATGTCAGAGTGTGTGGGCAAGTGGTAAAAGCTGCGGTCCTCACGGTGTCAGAAGCACTTGACATCATTACAGACAAGTTTAATTCATTTTATAAAAAGTGGCAGGCTGTTTCCATCTGTGAGAAGAACGTCACTGACGGTCACCAATGCTGCCACTTGGTCGGGTCGTCGTTCAACAATCCTGCTGTAAATCCCACGTGGTGACCAATTCATTCACCCAGGTTTTTTCTTGCATCCTCGGTTCGGGCTCACATTCTGTCACTGTGCCTTTGTAATTAACAAAGGGGATGACGAAGTAAAGAGGAAGACCCCGAACGACTATGTGAAGTGTGAAATATAATATGTAAGAATATAAAAACAGAAAAATACTTTCAGGTATTTTTCAGTTAAATATATGGTCTGTGGAAAAAAACCAAAAAACTTTTAAACCTTCAAATCATACTATAAAATCAGAAAATAATAACATGACAGCCCAAGGCTTAACCTTTCAATTTTCATGTGTTCACCATTCTAATTGAATTTTTAAATTGTTAAATAAATTAAATATTATAAAAAATGTAGTTTTGATTAAAGTGAAATATGTGACAAATATCGTGAGAACAAAATAGAACCTTTTAAACTAATTTCTTAAAAAAAAACATGTCAGAACTTAATTTACAATCTAAGTGATAGTAAGGCCAACAAAACATTTTTAAATCATCTACGAATGGCCCCCCTGTCTTTAACCCACTCATTCTTCACTTTGAACATCTGAGGTTTGATGGGTTTCCTGTGTGTTTAACCATTCTTTAAATCTCAGGCCAGGGAGATGGTTAAAGAAAACATTTTCCATAGTTTTTCTCGTGGGATCAGTGCGCAGAGAGGAAGTCATTTTTAAAGAAATGTGAGGGCTTTTTCGCAGACAAATAAACGTCGAGCCAGGGAGCGGCATCTCAGTGTGCGTCTGATGCTCGCTGGAGGAAGAGCTATTTCAACAGATTTATGAAGCCGAGTGTTTTTTATAATGACCCCATCAGGATTTACACGTTTCTTGTCAAGAGGGCTGCACACTGAAGGTATGGGAAGTTAACAGGGCAACCTGGCTGTCACTGCTCTTCCTTAAACAGTGATTAAGAGACAGGGGACATGATGCTGACATGTCTAGTAAAATGATAATTTACACTTGCTGCTGCACAGGTATGCTTTTCACACTAGTGGACACACACACGCGCAAATGTTTGAGTTGTGCTTTAGAAAGTCTCCCTCCACATATGTTTGTGTACGTATTTATGCCTGCGTGCGTGTGTGCATATATATGTGTGTGTGTGTGTGTGTGAGAGAGCGAGAGAGAGAGAGAGAGACCTGGGTGATTGTGTAAGCAGAGCCCTGGGCAGAGGGGGTGGTGTTGGTGGACCTTGGGTTCTCGCTGTGCTCATTGTGATAAATCATTGAGTTGCACAGTATCCCCTAACTTTGGCTCTGTTTGATCTTGATCGCAGTAAGATGGTGGTTTTGAAGTGAAAAACTCCAGAACTGCAGGTCAGCCTCTGCGAGGCAGGGCCACTAACCCACACAGTGAGACATGGTCATAATTTACACCCCAGTGGACAGCACCTAGCATCAGGGAGCCCCCGGCCTCCATCTGTACTATCTCAATCAGTGACAGATTAATGGAGCCTCTTATTCATCCAAACTGTGCGGATGTCTCTGTGAGACTGCTCTGCAAATACACAGCTCTTTGGCAGACAGGTTTTGCACAGGTTCCTATGGAGAAAGTGCATTCATGCCACCATGACCAAAGCAGTAAGAAAATTTACAGCTGCAGATAAGATTGAAGGACCTGCAACTTGGACAATTAACAGGGCCGCTAAGTCTCAGCACTGTCTCTCGTGCCTGCTCGTTCTTCTCGTGTATTGGAAATGTTTCTGAGTTGGTAACATAGTACAAATAGCAGTAGAAACAAAATAGGGAAATAAAATTAATACATTTCTTCTGGGAGCAGCTGTACACCATAGAAATGTGTTACTCAAAAACTCAACCCCCGTCAACAGATGCAAATTGAGTTACACCTTATCATCTCAAATATTTTAATTTAAGTTTAAATATTTTAAACTTAAATAAGCAACATATTTAACAGGCTGCTTTACGCATCCACTGTTACGATTAGAGGCATTTAAAAATATTTCTTTGTCCACTAAACCTATGAAAGGCATTAAATATATTTGCAAACTTGTGAAATCTACTTTTTTTAAATTTTATGTGAAAAAGATGCATAATGTAAAGTTAATCAATAAATAAATGTTACAACAATAAAATACAGCAGGGAAACTGACCAAAGAATTATGCAAATAAATACATTTTAAAAATAATACAGAAGTTCTAGTGTGTCCAAAAATATATAAATTAAAAACATATCTACATAATTGTTTATATTTATGTATACATATAAACAATTATAAATATATATAAGTGTTAAATATATTTTCCCTTTCTGTTAAGTGTCTGTTAAATGGGACAGATTTTACTCACTCCCTAAGATCAGGCTCACTCAGGGACACTCTGCGTCTTAACGTTCATAAAACAGCTTCAGTAAACATGCACTAACAAACAACTTCTCTGGCTCTTGTTCACCACTTTCCCAGTGATCGTATCAACCATGAAACGCTTCCTATCTCCTAAGCCTGCAGCTGAAACCTCCTGGCAACAGAAGTGTGTTGCGATTTGCTCCACATGGTTTATTATAGCTACAGGAGAAAAAAACCCCACTAATAATAAAAACAACTTCAGTTTCACACAAATACACACAAGTTGAAGCAGAAGTGTACTGTGCTGTAGCTCTATGCTGTAAAACAATTATGTGGCGAGGCTCTTGATAGTGAGCAGTTCATGACCGGGTGAAAAGAACAACGGCCAAACCTCATTAGCAATTACATTTTATCACAACTTTGCGTCACAGTAACAGCAGCAAGACGGTTAAGTAATGATAATGTGTCAGTTATACAATGCCTTATCTCTGTTTTGAGGGTCAGTGTAGAAGAAGTGATGTTTGATGAAAGATGAAAAAGGTAAACATGGCCTTTGTGGTTAATATAAACTTATAATATATATATATATATATATATATATAAACCGTGAAAATGTAAGCATTGTGAGTACATCTGTGGTCGGGAGGTTGGGGGGGATGTAGCTCCATTCACACACTCTCTGGGCCAGTGAACAGCACTGGCTGTTTCCTCTGCAGTTATTGGGGTGGAGAACAGGAACAGGGTGTGAGGAGAGTCCACGCCAGGGGTGCCCATAAATCAGGGCCCTTCTGCCCCCTATGACCAGCAAACCAACAGGGACTGGATGATCCAAATTCCACTGAGTTAATTCACCAAGTCGCTCTCCAAATTTCCTCCTGTACACCAGTGTGTGCACACAGCTTTACTAAAACCGTTGTGAGCGAATGCTACGGCTTACAACACAGCACCGAGCCCTCTGAGACGGTGCAGCGGCTGCATAACCTTTGCACTCAAAACAGCGAGGCAAAAGTGTCTGCACTAAATGAACTTGTGGCATGTTATCATTAATCTGTTCTCTATGGGACGTGCCCTTTAATCTCACAGCCATAAAAACACTTGCTGTGCAGTGAACACAGATATTTTCAGCACCTTTTCATGAGACGCTGAAGTTAAAGTTGTAGGAATTCTTCATAAATTGCTTTGAAGTAGTGTTAAAAAATGACGACACACTTAAAGAAGACACCAGCATGATTGATCAATGATTACTTTTTAAAAAGTACAATACTTAACTGGTGCAGAGTTATCTGGTTACCAATTCCTGGATAAATCATTCCACTGCAGGGCTGTTAAAAACACTGAGTACAGAACACATGTTTTAATTTACAATTCTCCCCAACAGATTTGTTTTTCATTAAATCCACAATATAATTGGTTTTGTTGTTCAAATCAGCTTTTTTGTTTGACTTCTACTACTGCTGTCCAGCTGTTTCTGTATCCTTTCTCCAACACACACACACACACACACACACACACACTCCAGGCTCTGAGCTCTGATGACAGATTTTTTTCTTTCTTTGACATTGTGCAATATCATTCTAAACAGTTTGTTCACTAAAGCAAATATGTGGTTGTAATTTAAGATGGACACGGTGGCCCGCCTCTGTATGTTTGTGTGTGTGTGTGTTTGAGAGAGAGAGAGAGAGAGAGAGAGAGAGAGAGAGAGTAAAAACCCATGATATCAATAAAATAAAATGTTTTCAGAATGACCAGGGTTTTTCTTTCTGTCTTTCTCCACTCATTCCTAGTATGACTAAATTGTAGTGCACTGATTTTGTTAAAGCAGTAATTATAAAATATATTATATTTTATATTAGAAATGAAGGTGTAACTTTTGATTTTTAATGTAATTTAGTTGTTTTGTTTAATCCACAATCTTTATTTGAGCTTCTGGTGTGCACAGAGGTTGGCTGGTGAGACATTCTAAAACCATATTCATGAAGTTCTTCAGTATGCGTGGTACTTAGTATTTTATGTGACTCTCCACTGATTGACCAGTACATTGTTCAATCAACAGCACGTTGGTGATTATGGAGATATTGATCTCTACTTTCAGCTTTTTCATCATCTACGGTTTCTTTGCTTCTGAATTAGAAGTGACTACAGTGCTGGGCACAGAATACGTTTTCTTTTACTGGCCTCCATCTCGTGGATTGATGGGCTAATCGATTAACTGAAGAAACAAACATAAAAAATGGCAAGAAGGTAATTGTCAACGGCGGGCACGGACAGTCCCTCGTTCATAATGATCAATTTAACCCAATCACATCCCTTTATGACCAGTCAGTGTGTGATGTCACTCAGAGCCACAGTAACCTGTTATCAGGCAAACTCCCAGAAGTAGAAACATTTGAAAGTGAAAATAAAACAACAAAATAAATACACGAGCAGTGCTGAGCCTCCAGGACCTCGACGCGCATCACGTGTTTCAGTGAAAGTATAGAGAAGTCGAGTGCGCACAAGTTTATCAGCTCCAGACCGATGTGCGCGCGTGTGTACGGAAATGTGCGAGCGAGCGACAGCAAAGAGAGAGAGAGAAGGAGAAAGAGAGAGAGAGAGAGGGAGAGAGAGGCGGAAACTTAAGTTGCAGACACAGAACAAGAAAGAAGGAATAACTATTCTTCCGACAGATTTATAAGCATTGGCTAAAATACATGCGCCATCTGTGTAGTTAGACGGCTGTGCGCAAAAGTGGATTTGAGGCGCAGAACAGAAAATAAGGAAGGAAGGTCGGAATGAAGGAAGAGGGCAAGTTAGACAGACCTTGGTGTGGATGATCTCCGGGTTAGGCACCGGTGAGGGCATCAGCTGGAGGGATGCCATGAGAGCAGCCGGGTCGCTCTTCACCTCTGCCGGGATCTCGATCTTACTGGAAGTCATGGCTGTTCTGTCTTTCTCTGTGTTGTGTCTCCTGCTGGTGCTCCTGCTGTTGCTCCTGCTGCACTCCTTCACTGACTTTACAGCAGCAGATCTCTGATCAGGACTTTGCGCTTCTTCCTGGGTTTATAGTCAGGTGTCGGCCGCGGTTTATTTTCATTGGGCAAGGAGAAGGGCCGTCCTTTTGAAAATTAAATTCACGCATTTACATAGAGGAGCTGAGGCCGGCGTGTTAAAGGAGGAGAAAGGCGTCCACCCTCCCACCTCCTCACTCACTCACTCACTCACTCACTCACTCCCTTTAAGTTTTCCTTCAACTGTCGGCTTTGTATCACCAACAGCTGACTGTACCATAATCCATACTCCTGCACGTTGTTGAGTCAGTTTACTGTCGCAGTTTAGTCATTTTCAGTGAATAATCACTCCGTTAGATAGATAGATAGA